ATGAGGACCCAACATAGGGGCTATTGAGGTGAGAGTCACAGCTTCAGATCCAGGAAGATCCATGAAGTCTCAGGATTTTCCTGTTTTGTAGAATATCAAAGCCAAACTGGATTAATAATCTGGTACTTATCCATCCTATAGTTGGGGAGACTGAGATCCAGAGGGAACTGGCTTTTCTGATGTTACATCACCATGTTGCAGGCAGAAAGAGAGAAAACCAAAATGTTTCTCCTGTTATCCAGGCCAGGGCTTTGGTTCCCAGGTACCATCTATTTTTATTTTTAATTGTGGTAAATTACACATAACATAAAGTTTAACTTCTTTACCATTAAAAAAAGTTTGCTTATTTATTTATTTGAGGGGGGGGGGAAGGAAAGAGAGAGAGGGAGAGAGAGAATCCCAAGCAGGCTCTGCACTGTCAGCATGAAGCCTGATGTGGGGCTTGAACCCACAAACTATGAGATCATGACCAGAACCAAAATCAAGAGTTGGATGCTCAACCGACTGAGCCACCCAGGTGCCCCAGCTTCTTCACCATTTCTAACTGTATGGTTCAGTCATGTAAGGTATATTCATATTGTTTGGCAGCCAGTCTCCAGAACACTTTTCATCTTGAAAAACTGAAACTGTATTCATTAAAAATTGCCTATCCTCTCCTGGCAACCACCATCCTACTTTCTGACCCTCTGAATTTCACTCTAGGTATCTCAAAGAAGTTGAATCATATAGTATTTGTCTTCTGTGACCAGCTTATTTTACTTAGCATAACGTCCTGAAGGTTCATCCATGTTGTAGCATGTAGAATTTCCTTCCTTTTTAAGGCTGAATGATATTCCACTGTATGTATATACCACATTTTGTTTATTCATTTATCTGTCCATGGACACTCAGATTGCTTCTACATTTTGGCAATTGTGAATAGTGCTGCTATGAACATAGGTGTGCAAATATGTCTTTGAGGTACACCTGTGTGGCTCAGATAGTTAAGCATTCCACTTTTGATTTCAGCTGGAATCATGATCTCCCGGTTGTGAGATTGAGCCCCGCATTAGGGCTCTGCGCTGACAGCATTGAGTCTGCTTGGGATTCTCCCTCTCTCCCTCCCTCTCTGCCCCTCCCCATCATGTGCTCATGCGCACTCTTTCTCTCTCTCTCTCAAAATGAATAAACATTAAAAAAAAGTTTCAAATATCTCTTTGAAACCCTGCTTTCAATTTTTTGAGTATATATTCAGAAGTTGAATTGCTGGATTGTATGTTAATTCTACTTTTAGTTACCAGGCACCATTTTAGCCTCATAGGAAATGCAGCATGCTCTGAGAGGTTCACGTTCTGATGTGAATTGGTAATAGACCCTCACTTCCTGCCTTCAAGACCTAGGCTTTTTGTATTAAATGGGTTATGCACCCATACTGCCAAAGAAATCGTGTGGTAGTTAAGAGAAATGATGCAGTCGAGTTTAAAGGAAGTTAAGCATGCTTTACTTTCTTTTTCTCTAGTGTGTTCTCTTAGACAAATGAGTGAACAGGCAGGTTGGTTTAGGCAGAAATGATAAACTAGCAATCTGAGTGATTAATTTATGCTACAAATGTGTTTTGTCTGGTCTGTACAGGGTTTTTTACTTAAATTAATTGCTAGAACTAAAAAAAAAAAGGGATATGTCATATAAAAGTCCAGCTTTTAACCTTCTCTTAATGATCCAACAATTACAAGTCCACCTTCTTGCCTGCTCTCCAGTGTGCCACAGTCCCCACCACTCCCCATATCCCACCTACTTCCCTCAATTATATTATCTATCTGCCATTTGAGCTTAAGACCCCGGACTCAGAGCATATGTCTAACAGAACCTAGGTCAGGGGCTCATCTTCTGCTCTGTCCAATTTCCCAGCAGAGTTGTTATTCAAGAAATATTTTGGTGGTCAAATGAATTAACTCATGTCCACCAGCTTTTACTGAGCACTTATTATGTGCAGAGCCAGGGACTGGATCCTCCTTTCTCAGAAATGGATAAAGCACAGTTCCCTGACCTCTGAAAACTCAACCTTATGGGGTGGAGGGAGGCAGACATTAGTATGCTCCAGTTCTGGACTAGAGGCACTGGTCAGAAGTGGGAGCTTCTGAGGAGAAGACCTGAACCGTATCTGGAAGAAGGAGAGGACAGCTATATGAGGAGCTAGAGGTAGGAGGGCAGAGAAGCCACAGCAGATACAAAGGCTGGATGGTGAAGGTTCAATGTGTTTGAGGAACTTGAAAGAAGGCCAGTGCGACTGGAGCTTAAGAGTGGTAGTAGATGACGTTAGACGTGTATTTTTGTATCAACAGCCTAACCCTTAAGCCAGGCAGCTGTTAGGCAAATCCACGTTCTGGTCTTCTGAGGGCTCGCTCAGAACAGGTAGCTGGCTTAGCACGGTCAGTCAGAGGAGGACCTGGGCCTAATCCCTTCCCCTGACTCCAGTGCCAAGGACAGGGTAGGGCACAGAGCAGGTTTTAGTAAAGATCTGCTGACAGCGTACTCGAGAGAGAACAGGAAATGCAGGCTCTGTTGAAGGAGGCCCAGGCGCGGCTCTCTCTTGATTGGGGCACTCATTCTAGGTCGCTAACACCTCCTCCAAGCGACACAGGGAGCTGGGAGAGTGAGAGGCAGAGAGGAACCAGCCACAGGCCCTACCCACAAAAACCTCAAAGGGGAGGGGATTTGAGGAGCAGGTAGGAAAATAGGCTGTGACAATTAAGGGAGGGCATCCGACTTCGCTTGGATGAGGCGGGGAGAGGGGTCAGGAAAGCAGATGGGTCCTTTAGCCGAGACGTAAGGGATGTGCAGGGCAATTTTACGTATAGCGTTTTGTACGTTTCATTTTGTTTTCTGGCATTATTTCCTCTGAAAGCACTCGCAGTCCTTAATGGGCTGCCCCGGGGCGGGTCCTTGCTTCACTCCCCAACCCTCTGCAAAGGGGCAGGGCCTCCCAGGAGCTCCAGTCTTGTGTGCAGCACCCAGATTTGTCCGCCAGGGGCCGCTGCGCACGGGTGACTAAGCGCGCAGGTTCCTAAACTGCAGAGAGGAGAAAGCTGATTGGCTGCGCGGTGCGGCGGGCGGGCGGAGCTTGAAAGCGGGTCCGGGGTGGGGGCTGGGAGCGTGCCCCGGCCCAACCGTGCCAGGCCGTTGTCGCTTTAGGCAGCCCGGGACTGCGATCATTGTGCCAGGGGCCTCTGTCCAACCCCGCTCTAGAGCTGAGGCGACTGGAGCATCACCGAGGCCCGGAGACCCGGGCAGGGCAGTTACTGTCGTCGTCGCCGCAGGCCTGAGTTACCTGAGCAACTGCGTGTCCGT